CCGATGTCAATCCCTCCCTAGATAAATGTTATCTTTATATCGTCTTCAGATGTCAGTCCCTCCATAGATAAATGTTATCTTTATATCGCCATCAGATGTCAATCCCTCCCTAGATAAATGTTATATTGACAGCGTCTTCAGATGTCAATCCCTCCCAAGATAAATGTTATCTTTATATCGTCTTCAGATGTCAGTCCCTCCATAGATAAATGTTATCTTTATATCGCCATCAGATGTCAATCCCTCCCTAGATAAATGTTATATTGACAGCGTCTTAAGATGTCAATCCCTCCCTAGATAAATGTTATATTGACAGCGTCTTCAGATGTCAATCCCTCCCTAGATAAATGTTATCTTTATATCGTCTTCAGATGTCAATCCCTCCCAAGATAAATGTTATATTGACAGCGTCTTCCGATGTCAATCCCTCCCTAGATAAATGTTATCTTTATATCGTCTTCATATGTCAATCCCTCCCTAGATAAATGTTATATTGACAGCGTCTTCCGATGTCAATCCCTCCCTAGATAAATGTTATCTTTATATCGTCTTCAGATGTCAATCCCTCCCTAGATAAATGTTATCTTTATATCGTCTTCCGATGTCAATCCCTCCCTAGATAAATGTTATCTTTATATAGTCTTCAGATGTCAATCCCTCCCTAGATAAAAATTATATTGACAGCGTTTTCCGATGTCAATCCCTCCCTAGATAAATGTTATCTTTATATCGTCTTCAGATGTCAATCCCTCCCTAGATAAATGTTATCTTTATATCGCCTTCAGATGTCAATCCCTCCCTAGATAAATGTTATCTTTATATAGTCTTCAGATGTCAATCCCTCCCTAGATAAAAATTATATTGACAGCGTCTTCCGATGACAATCCCTCCCTAGATAAATGTTATCTTTATATCGTCTTCAGATGTCAGTCCCTCCCTAGATAAATGTTATCTTTATGTTGTCCTCAGATGTCAATCCCTCCCTAGATAAATGTTATATTGACAGCGTCTTCAGATGTCAGTCCCTCCATAGATAAATGTTACATTGACAGCGTCTTCAGATGTCAATCCCTCCCTAGATAAATGTTATATTGACAGCGTCTTCAGATGTCAATCCCTCCCTAGATAAATGTTATATTGACAGCGTCTTCAGATGTCAATCCCTCCCTAGATAAATGTTATCTTTATATCGTCTTCAGATGTCAATCCCTCCCTAGATAAATGTTATATTGACAGCGTCTTCAGATGTCAATCCCTCCCTAGATAAATGTTATATTTATCTCTTCAGATGTCAATCCCTCCCTAGATAAATGTTATCTTTATATCGCCTTCCGATGTCAATCCCTCCCAAGATAAATGTTATCTTTATATCGTCTTCCGATGTCAATCCCTCCCTAGATAAATGTTATCTTTATATCGTCTTCAGATGTCAATCCCTCCCTAGATAAATGTTATCTTTATGTTGTCTTCAGATGTCAATCCCTCCCTAGATAAATGCTATCTTTATGTTGTCTTCAGATGTCAATCCCTCCCTAGATAAATGTTATATTGACAACGTCTTCAGATGTCAATCCCTCCCTAGATAAATGTTATCTTTATATCGTCTTCCGATGTCAATCCCTCCCTAGATAAATGTTATATTGACAGCGTCTTCAGATGTCAATCCCTCCCTAGATAAATGTTATCTTTATATCGTCTTCAGATGTCAATCCCTCCCTAGATAAATGTTATATTGACAGCGTCTTCAGATGTCAATCCCTCCCTAGATAAATGTTATCTTTATATCGTCTTCATATGTCAATCCCTCCCCAGATATTTTCTCGTCTTGTATTGTCATCGTCTTCAGATAATAAAAGTGACTCGTCTTTCATGCTGTATACTAAACACATATTTTTCTTCAATCGAATTTTCTGATGTTAACACACACTGTATGGTCTCATTACAAACTGCGCAAGATAATGTTTTTTTCTGTTTGTATCAAAAAATCACCATTCAACAAATTTCGATAGGACTACCTCTGTAACTGGACATATAGTAAATCTCCTGTCTTTACAGCAAGACTATGTTTGTGGTTAAAAACATAAACTAAATTAAAGAGAAGATACACGAATGGGGATTCTAATTACATGATGTTACTATCACTGCCATTGATCTGCTGTTCCGCGACGTTTTCTTCACGACTCAGTGACTTCAGTGGTAAATGCATTGGTCGGACTTGATTGGACGATTGGCAACAAGCATTACTGCCTTGCTTCAAAGCAATATGTCTACGTAACATCAAGGAGAGTTTCGATGTTGTGAGGTTAGGGAGACCTCTCTATGGTGTTAGGTTTAGAGAGGCATCACAATACTGTCTTCATGGTGTTCAGTTTAGAGAGACGCGAAAATAATATCTTCATGGCGCCAGGTTTATAGAGACGTGTCTATACAGCCTTCATGGTGTCAGGTTTAGAGAGAAGTGACAATACTGCCTTCATGGTGTCAGGTTTAGAGAGGCGTGACAATACTGTCTTCATGGTGTCAGGTTTAGAGAGGCGTGACAATACTGTCTTCATGGTGTCAGGTTTAGAGAGGCTTCACAATACTGTCTTCATGATAGAGAGACGTGACAATACTGTCTTCATGATGTTAGGTTTAGAGAGGCGTCACAATACAGTCTTCATGGTGTCAGGTTTAGAGAGGCGTGACAATACTGTCTTCATGGTGTCAGGTTTAGAGAGGCGTCACAATACTGTCTTCATGGTGTCAGGTTTAGAGAGGCGTCACAATACTGTCTTCATGGTGTCAGGTTCGAGAGACGTGACAATACTGTCTTCATGATGTTAGGTTTAGAGAGGCGTCACAATACAGTCTTCATGGTGTCAGGTTTAGAGAGAAGTGACAATACTGTCTTCATGGTGTCAGGTTTAGAGAGGCGTGACAATACTGTCTTCATGGTGTCAGGTTCGAGAGACGTCACAATACTGTCTTCATGGTGTCAGGTTTAGAGAGGCATCACAATACTGTCTTCATGGTGTCAGGTTTAGAGAGGCGTCACAATACTGTCTTCATGATGTTAGGTTTAGAGAGGCGTCACAATACTGTCTTCATGGTGTCCGGTTCGAGAGACGTGACAATACTGTCTTCATGATGTTAGGTTTAGAGAGGCGTCACAATACTGTCTTCATGATGTTAGGTTTAGAGAGAAGTGACAATACTGTCTTCATGGTGTCAGGTTTAGAGAGAAGTGACAATACTGTCTTCATGGTGTCAGGTTTAGAGAGGCGTCACAATACTGCCTTCATGATGTTAGGTTTAGAGAGACGTGACACTACTGTCTTCATGATGTCTGGTTTAGAGAGACATGACAATACTGCCTTCATGATGTCTGGTTTAGAGAGACGTGACACTACTGTCTTCGTGGTATCAGGTTTAGAGAGAAGTGTCTAAACTGTCTTCATGGTGTCAGGTTTAGAGAAACGTCACAATACTGTCTTCATGGTGTTAGGTTTAGAGAGACGTGACTATACTGTCTTCATGGTGTTAGGTTTATAGGGACGTGACAATACAGACTTCATGGTGGTAGGTTTAGAGAGACGTGACGTGACAAGTGTATGACGCAAAGTGTAGATGATAGATAAGTTTATACAAAAGGATTTTATTTGATTTGTCTACATATTAAAACGGAAATTAATTTATTGATTATTTGAAGTAAATGATCAATATATTAACCATTTTCCTTTCTGTAAAGTTACAAACAGAATCCCGGATCGATATATATAGCGTTATCGATGCCTGCCATTAAAGATTCATAGATATTTGTAAACTGCACTATTTATTGAGACTGCTGGTAGTGTCGCCATTCATGCGTAGAGAATATCTTCTCTTTGTGAAAGTATTGCCAGACAGTTGCTATGACCTACTTTAGTATTCTCAGTCCCAGATCAATCAGTCGTCAATTACAAATTATTCCACACAGCAAAATTATAACATTGACTGGGAATATTACAAAACAGTCGACAGTCTTTTCAGACGGTTGGTTAAGGAAGCCATCTGGATACGCCGCAGTGGGCCAGTTCTTAATAGGGACGAGGGGGGTCAAAGGCTCTCGCACATCTATGGTCAATTGTTAAACAAAGCGTAGCCGAATTGACAATAGTACATTGTTACCATCTTGTGTATTCTTTGGTCAATAATCTGTTTACCATTTCGTCACACCGTTTTCTACCATAGTCTCCACGGGATTATAGTACAGCCGAAAAAGCACACTACGTACGTCAGTGCTTCTCACTGGTTATTTGTCTGATGAAGGTGACCGTATAGTCATCAAAACGTCCCACTTGTCATAATGTGTAGTTATATCTTCATGCTGAACACTTAACGTGTATTTATATCTTCATGTTGACGTTTAACGTGTAATTATATCGCCATGCTGAACACTTAACGTGTAGTTATATCGCCATGCTGAACATTCAAGTGTAGTTTTCTCGCCATGCTGAACACTTAACGTGTAGTTATATCTTCATGTTGAACACTTAACGTGTAGTTATATCGCCATGTTGGTGCGATCACATCATTTCCACACAGAATCAGACCTGGTACATAAAACACACCAAAACGATTCAGAAAACATCAGCGGAGTAAAACCCTCAACTCCATCAGGCAACAGATAGATAATGGCTGAGGCAACCCCTATTACTCAACAGCAGGCGACATGGAGAAGGCTTCAAATGGTGCGATCTTCTAAAGCACAGCGTGTCTCTGTTTCATTTCACACCGCTTTGGTAGATAATTTTTTTTTATTGTCATTTGTAGTATTCATCATGTACATGTAGTTTATGTTATTTAGAAATAACATATTTTTTGTTTTAAATATTGTATCACAACTTATTCCACGAATAAAGCATTATCGAGAGTGTGTACTATTCTGTAAATCGTAGAGTGTTGTCCAGTACACATAACATCCACGTAGTAATATCTTATTAAAGAATACAAAATCAGATGAAGTTTCGTTTATTGGTTCATTGGGGATCAGGATTCAACTGTAGCATATTGAGGATTAGGGGATCTGCCTTTGCTCCCGTTCGGAACTCCTCAAGAGTTATCGAGCCGTCGCCGTTTTCGTCGATGTTTCCGAAGAGCTTCGTTGTCATCATTTCAGGCGTAGCGACATCTGGCGGTTTAACGATTAATGGCGTCATTCGGTAAATAGACTGCAACAGAACATTTATTTGCCATTGAAGATGCAAAGAAATATACATCAACATGTCAACATCAGTCCGAATGTTAATGTCACGTGTTACATAGTATGGTAACCTATCAGTCGGGTGGCGCAGTGGCAACGCACTTGCCTTTCATATAGACGTCCGGGCTTCGATTCTCGGAACGGATGTGAAAAGGTAAGGGGTCACCTGGCCGACCACATGGGCTTTCCCAGGGTACTCCGGTTTCCTCCCACAATTAGACCCCTCGTGCGCTTACATTCGGGCCAACAAGAGTGATTAGTATGAGTTTCGCAATTGTTGTAAAATCAGTCAAGTTTATATGTATATTGGTAACCTATGGTCACTCGGCAACCGCGAGCAAATAGGCGAAAAAGGTAAAAAAAAAAAAAAAAAAAAAATGCAGATAGCTAAATTATATATTTTTATGATGTCGTAAATGGTGCTTGTTGTTTGCTGCTGTTTGCTGTTGTCTTCCGCTGTTTTGCTGTTTTTTACTGTTTGTTGCTGTTTGCTGCTGTTTTTCTGGTGTCAGTAGCAAAACAGTAGTAAAACAGCAGTGAACAACTGCAAATAACAGCAAAACAGCAGCAAACAACAGCAAAAGTTCGATTTTTTTGTTGTCATCATTACATGTTTTAAGAAAAAAAATGTAATTGATAAGTGAAAATGTAAATTTTGCAAATAGAAAATGTGATTATTTAAAGAAAGGTTATAATTTTATGCTTTTTTTTATAGCAGTAATATTTCGTAATGAAAAAACCAAGTTAAATTATGTTCTTGCATGCAAAATACCAACAATACACGCCATACAAGTCATTTTCCGTTGTGAAAAAGGGATATATACACACTACGGTACAGTCGAAAGCTTAATGACGTCGTCAAAACCAACCCGTCAGTCGAATTACGTACTTTACTATAGCTAGATACATCAATGACGTCGTCAAAACCAACCCGTCAGTCGAATGACGTACTTTACTATAGCTAAAAACATCAATGACGTCGTCAAAACCAACCCGTCAGTCGAATGACGTACTTTACTATAGCTAAAAACATCAATGACGTCGTCAAAACCAACCCGTCAGTCGAATGACGTACTTTACTATAGCTAAAAACATCAATGACGTCGTCAAAACCAACCCGTGAGTCAAATTACATACTTTACTATAGCTTAAAACATCAATGACGTCGTCAAAACCAACCCGTGAGTCAAATTACATACTTTACTATAGCTTAAAACATCAATGACGTCGTCAAAACCGACCCGTGAGTCAAATTACGTACTATAGCTTACTATAGCTAAATACACTTTACTATATAAATACATCAATGACGTCGTCAAAACCACCCCGTCAGTCGAATTACGTACTTTACTATAGCTAAAAACATCAATGACGTCGTCAAAACCAACCCGTCAGTCGAATTACGTACTTTACTATAGCTAAAAACATCAATGACGTCGTCAAAACCAACCCGTGAGTCAAATTACATACTTTACTATAGCTTAAAACATCAATGATCGTACAAATTACATACTTTACTATATTTTACTATAGTTAAAAACATCAATGACGTCGTCAAAACCAACCCGTCAGTCGCATTGCATACTATCCAATAGCTAAAAACATCAATGAGGTCGTCAAAACCGACCCGTCAGTCGAATTACATACTTTACTATAGCTTAAAACATCAATGACGTCGTCAAAACCAACCCGTGAGTCAAATTACATACTTTACTATAGCTTAAAACATCAATGACGTCGTCAAAACCGACCCGTCAGTCGAATTACGTACTTTACTATAGCTAAATACATCAATGACGTCGTCAAAACCAATCCGTCAGTCGAATTACGTACTTTACTATAGCTAAAAACATCAATGACGTCGTCAAAACCAACCCGTCAGTCGAATGATGTATTTTACTATAGTTAAAAACATCAATGACGTCGTCAAAACCGACCCGTCAGTCGAATTACGTACTTAACTATAGCTAGATACATCAATGAGGTCGTCAAAACCGACCCGTCAGTCGAATTACATACTTTACTATAGCTTTACATACTTTACTATAGCTTAAAACATCGACCCGTCAATGAGTCGTCAAAAATTACGAATTACATACTTTACTATAGCTAAACATGACGTCGTCAAAACCAACCCGTCAGTCGAATTACGTCCTTTACTATAGCTAAAAATGACGTCATCAAAACCAACCCGTCAATCAAATTACATAGGAGGACACACCTGAAACACGGCAAGTAGAACAGGGGAGACAATTAGTGACAGAGACCTTTACTCGGTGAGTGATGACATCATGCACTCCACTTTTATGAATATGTGACATAAGGGGCCTTTGGTTTAGGGGGTTGCTAAACACTTTGATTTTCGTTACCATGGATATCCAAGATGACGAACTTCTTAGCATCCCCCTCCCATCTCATCGTCTCATAATCATCAAATATGCACTGTGCAATTTTTCAACAGTATGAATGGAGGTCCTATTTCTAACGTTGAGATATCAAAGCAACTTGCATGTATTCTGAGCAACGGGGTTTTCCTGTTCAGACTTGAGAGGCATCAGAGGAGACATTTTACTGCAATGGACTTTAATCATATTTATAATATACGTACCGCCATCATGTCTAGCATTTCCTTCCGTGTGATAGCTCCGTCACCGTCCACGTCATACATGGAAAACGCCCATTTCAACTTTTGGTCTATGTTATCTGTTGACGTCACACTCAGTCCGATCAAAAACTCTCTAAAGTCTACCTTGCCGTCCCCATTTAAGTCAAACGTTCTGAAGACATGTTCAGCAAACTGTCCTGCGTCTGAGCCGTACATTTTAGAGTAGACATCCTTGAACTCGTTAACGGTGAGATATCGTCCCTTTTTACTTTGTTGATATTCGCCATACCATTCTTTTATTTCAGCTTCAGAAAAATCGCATTCTCTCTTCAGTTGTCGAATTTCATTTCTCGACAAACCTTTGTTGGACGAATTCCCCATTTATAGAGAAAGTGTTGAAATCTGTCAAATGAAAGTAAAAATAATAATAATACATGTTATAACCACCCCCCCCCCCTAAAAAGTACTCTGTAAGGCTCAAACGAAGTGTACATACAAACGGACAAATGGTTGACAATATATTGAGAAGTCTCTGTGCACAAGTAGATAATATGCTGAACGTAAAACGGACGTATACCATGTGGAGGTGTTCGTTATAGATATTGATGTGAAACAACTTTTGGAAATGAAAAATAGCAATCATACCTGTCTATACCTGTAATGAATTGTATTCAATACTGAACAGTCCCCGGTTTAGCCGTTTCATTCCAGGATCGAGAAAGCCTAACAGGGGAAATTTAGAGGTGTATACCCGCCATGAATTATAAATGACAGTACGACGACAGAATCATCGACCTACATTGCGATCCGTTGGACTATATCTTTGTCTATACTGTGGTGTGTAGGAACACGTTTTCAGGAGAATATGTGTGATGATGGTAAGAGGGAGCATTTAATTGTGAGGATGTGTATGATGATGGTGAGAGGTAGTGTGTGATTGTGATGATGTGTATAAGGATGGTGAGAGGTAGTGTGTGATTGTGATGATGTGTATAAGGATGGTGAGAGGTAGTGTGTGATTGTGATGATGTGTATAAGGATGGTGAGAGGTAGTGTGTGATTGTGATGATGTGTATGAGGATGGTGAGAGGGCGTTTGTGATTTTGAGGATGTGTATGATGATGGTGAGAGGTAGTGTGTGATTGTGATGATGTGTATAAGGATGGTGAGAGGTAGTGTGTGGTTGTGATGATGTGTATGAGGATGGTGAGAGGAAGCGTATAATTGTGATGATGTGTATGAGGATGGTTAGAGGGAGCGTTTAATTGTGAGGATATGTATGAGGATGGTGAGAGGGCGTTTGTGATTTTGAGGACGTGTATGATGATGGTGAGAGGTAGTGTGTGATTGTGATGATGTGTATAAGGATGGTGAGAGGTAGTGTGTGATTGTGATGATGTGTATAAGGATGGTGAGAGGTAGTGTGTGATTGTGATGATGTGTATAAGGATGGTGAGAGGTAGTGTGTGGTTGTGATGATGTGTATGAGGATGGTGAGAGGAAGCGTATAATTGTGATGATGTGTATGAGGATGGTTAGAGGGAGCGTTTAATTGTGAGGATATGTATGAGGATGGTGAGAGGGCGTTTGTGATTTTGAGGACGTGTATGATGATGGTGAGAGGTAGTGTGTGATTGTGATGATGTGTATGAGGATGGTGAGAGGGAGTGTGTGATTGTGATGATGTGTATGATGATGGTGAGAGGGAGTGTGTGAGTGTGTGATTGTGATTTTGAGGATGTGTATGAGGATGGTGAAACGGCTTGTGTTTGTGAAAATGTGTGATGCTGTTGAGAGGGCACGTGTGCTTTGAGAATGTGTATGAGGATGGTGAGAGGGCGTGTGTGATTGTGAGGACGTGTATGATGATTGTGAGAGGGAGTGTGTGATTTTGATGATGTGTATAAGGATGGTGAGAGGGAGTGTGTGATTGTGATGATGTGTATGATGATGGTGAGAGGGAGTGTGTGATTGTAAGGAATGTATGAGGATGGTGAGAGGTAGTGTGTGATTGTGATGATGTGTATGATGATGGTGAGAGGGAGTGTGTGATTGTGATGTGTATGATGATGGTGAGAGGGAGTGTGTTATTGTGAGGAATGTATGAGGATGGTGAGAGGGCGTGTGTGATTGTGATGATGTGTATGAGGATGGTGAGAGGTAGTGTGTGATTGTGATGATGTGTATGAGGATGGTGAGAGGGAGTGTGTGATTGTGATGATGTGTATGATGATGGTGAGAGGGAGTGTGTGATTGTGATGATGTGTATGATGATGGTGAGAGGGAGTGTGTGATTGTGAGGATGTGTATGAGGATGGTGAGAGGGCGTGTGTTATTGTGAGGAATGTATGAGGATGGTGAGAGGGCGTGTGTGATTGTGATGATGTGTATGAGGATGGTGAGAGGGAGTGTGTGATTGTGATGATGTGTATGATGATGGTGAGAGGGAGTGTGTGATTGTGATGATGTGTATGATGATGGTGAGAGGGAGTGTGTGATTGTGAGGATGTGTATGAGGATGGTGAGAGGGCGTGTGTTATTGTGAGGAATGTATGAGGATGGTGAGAGGGCGTGTGTGATTGTGATGATGTGTATGAGGATGGTGAGAGGGAGTGTGTGATTGTGATGATGTGTATGATGATGGTGAGAGGGAGTGTGTGATTGTGATGATGTGTATGATGATGGTGAGAGGGAGTGTGTGATTGTGATGATGTGTATGATGATGGTGAGAGGGAGTGTGTGATTGTGAGGATGTGTATGAGGATGGTGAGAGGTAGTGTGTGATTGTGAGGATGTGTATGATGATGGTGAGAGGGCGTGTGTTATTGTGAGGAATGTATGAGGATGGTGAGAGGGCGTGTGTGATTGTGATGATGTGTATGAGGATGGTGAGAGGGCGTGTGTGATTGTGAGGATGTGTATGAGGATGGTGAGAGGTAGTGTGTGATTGTGATGATGTGTATGATGATGGTGAGAGGGCGTGTGTGATTGTGAGGATGTGTATGAGGATGGTGAGAGGAAGTGTGTTATTGTGAGGAATGTATGAGGATGGTGAGAGGGCGTGTGTGATTGTGATGATGTGTATGATGATGGTGAGAGGGAGTGTGTGATTGTGAGGATGTGTATGAGGATGGTGAGAGGGCGTGTGTGATTGTGAGGATGTGTATGAGGATGGTGAGAGGAAGTGTGTTATTGTGAGGAATGTATGAGGATGGTGAGAGGGCGTGTGTGATTTTGAGGACGTGTATGATGATGGTGAGAGGGCGTGTGTTATTGTGAGGAATGTATGAGGATGGTGAGAGGGCGTGTGTTATTGTGAGGAATGTATGAGGATGGTGAGAGGGCGTGTGTGATTGTGATGATGTGTATGATGATGGTGAGAGGGAGTGTGTGATTGTGATGATGTGTATGATGATGGTGAGAGGGCGTGTGTTATTGTGAGGAATGTATGAGGATGGTGAGAGGGCGTGTGTTATTGTGAGGAATGTATGAGGATGGTGAGAGGGCGTGTGTGATTGTGATGATGTGTATGAGGATGGTGAGAGGTAGTGTGTGATTGTGAGGATGTGTATGAGGATGGTGAGAGGTAGTGTGTGATTGTGAGGATGTGTATGAGGATGGTGAGAGGTAGTGTGTGATTGTGAGGATGTGTATGAGGATGGTGAGAGGTAGTGTGTGATTGTGAGGATGTGTATGAGGATGGTGAGAGGTAGTGTGTGATTGTGAGGATGTGTATAAGGATGGTGAGAGGTAGTGTGTGATTGTGAGGATGTGTATAAGGATGGTGAGAGGTAGTGTGTGATTGTGAGGATGTGTATGAGGATGGTGAGAGGTAGTGTGTGATTGTGAGGATGTGTATGAGGATGGTGAGAGGTAGTGTGTGATTGTGAGGATGTGTATAAGGATGGTGAGAGGTAGTGTGTGATTGTGAGGATGTGTATGAGGATGGTGAGAGGTAGTGTGTGATTGTGAGGATGTGTATAAGGATGGTGAGAGGTAGTGTGTGATTGTGAGGATGTGTATGAGGTTGATGCGAGGTTGTATGTTTTAATAATGTGTGTGGGGATGGTATGAGGGAGTATGTATTTGTAAGAACGTGTGTGAGGAGGATGAGAAACCAAGTGTTTTGTGAGAATGTGTCGTAATGCCCCATTGCCTAAATTAAAGAAACTATTTAATATGGTAGAACCATTGCACTTCTTTGATCGGAGGGGGATGAAGTATTTTATCTCTCCTTGGGAGGGGTAGATTCCATCATCTTTCATGTATGCAGGTTAAAACGACAATTTAACTCCTAGCCATAAGCAAAGGGCTAGCCTTGTTTTATTTGTTATCTTTACACATTTACACAGACACTTAAATGTTCACACAGTGCACACTGTACCATGCTGACGAGTAGCACTCATACATTACTTGGGGGTAGTAATTAAAACAAAATAACAAAGAATAGGAATACCTTCAGTCCAACATCTGTGGACACCGGGAAATCTTCTAGTCATTTATCTATATAACGGTTTATACGTCCATTACTACGGCCTTACAGAGGTCGACGAGAAATCTTCAAGACAACCGAGTTTTTAAATGAGTTTAAATGTTTATAGTGAACTTAACGCGAGACCGATGGAATATTTCGAACTAAAGGCGGTCATTGATACGCCCCTGTCCTTCTAAACATACACTTTAATTACCAAATATTGTATTTATTTCATTCCCTTAACTGCTTTTGATTTGTATGTATCGTATGCTTTATCGTGGTCGAAAACATGTATCATTAAGCATTATAACAGTAGGGGAGATAACTCTGGTAGACCATGGCAGAAGTTGTATGAATAACATTTCTGTCAGTCATATTAATGATGCCACTTTCTCTAGAGATATAACTATGACCCTGTGTATAATTTCGAAAATTTATGTGTGGTAGTTGTTTATTTTGCTAGAGAGAAAATCGTTTAATCCATTTCATTTCTCAACCCAATTTTCAATCCTATTTGTAAACTGCTCTCAGATATGAGTAGTATCACAATACAGAGAAGTATTGTGTAATAGTTTTTTACGTTTTCCGATGTTCCACCCCATACGGTTATTCTTTCAGTGTAAACTTCAGTTCCGTAGTTAACACCGCTGTATAACGGTGCCATTATATCTTTACTATTGTACGTAGATCTTGTATCCATTTTCGAAATTTAAAGACATTAATATTGTGCGGTATTTGTGTTTTAAATTGTTTTCCTTAGAAGCGAATATACAACATAAGATTTGTGTGTGAGGGGGGGGGGTTGCAAAACGAGTATACTACATGGGGGGGGGGGGGGGGGGGCAGGCAAAACGAGTATACTACATAGGTGGTGACAAAACAAGTATACTTCATAGGGGATGACAAAACGAGTATACTACAT